CAGATGTCCGTTCATACTAACGTTACATGACCGAAAGCGCGTGTTATGTGACCATTAATGCAAACTGTAGCATCATGCTACATAAGACAATAAATAAGATTTATATTCCGCTTTTACTCAAAACTCACTTTAAACCACCATCGAGTGTTTGTAATAACTTCTGATTGCAGTCTAATGTGTGTTTTGGCCATCTAATGTTGCTGAAATTAAATATGTTATTACCTCTGAGTCAGAGCAGCAATCATAGAAGAGAGAACACAAGCAGACGGCGCTGGAAGCTGCTAATGCTCATCAGTAAATCAGTGGAAAATAAATCGAAATCATGATTCTGTCGGAGCTATGCGTTTTAAAACGAACACTAACTAGTGTAAATGTAGCCTAACAGATGTGTAAACTGAAGACTATTTGAGCTTTATTAAAACTACTTTGCACTGATTGATTGTGTTGGTTACATTTTGTTCCTTTGTGCAGTGGCTCAGAAGATGGATTCTTTGAGTTTGTATAAACATCAACAAGCTGAAAAATAAAACCAAAGTTTTTTTTTTTTTTTAGATAATGTAATCTTGTTAAAATTGATTTCATAAAATTGGTATCGAAAAAAGTATCGTTCAGGAACCGGTATTAAAGTCAAGGTATCGGTATCGGAAATTTTTGAACGATACCCACCCCTATGGTTTTGTTACAAAGACGGTCTAACTGTACACAGTTCTTACATATCAAAACAATGTCTACTTATGAGTAAAAAGATTAGGTAAAGTTTGAATTCTCCATTCATGACACCTTTGGCACACCATTGTGGCACCCTTCAGTGCTTGGTCTTTAAAACTGAATGACTAAACTGTTGAAAGCGCAATACTGCCATCTACTATGTTGGAGTGTCAAGCAGATTGTTACTAGAACTTGTGTAGTTTTCACATATCAATATTTCATTTTTTGTTTAGTACCATGGCTGTCGTTGATTCCAGTACATTGGATCACCCCTAATTTAAAAGCATAAATGTCAAAAATATTCTGAGATTGTAATGAACAACTTTAAAAGGCTGAAAGAAAAATATTTTTTAGTTTTAGTTGTTACTAGAACTTGTGTAGTTTTCACATATCAATATTTCATTTTTTTTAGTACCATGGCTGTCGTTGATTCCAGTACATTGGATCACCCCTAATTTAAAAGCATAAATGTCAAAAATATTCTGAGATTGTAATGAACAACTATAAAAGGCTGAAATTCTTGAAAGAAAAATATTTTTTAGTTTTAGTTTTTTTTTTTTTTATGTATTCAAGTCATTTTGTCATGAGTAAATGTACCAATCTGAAGTCCATGATCGCTTTAGCCATCAGTTTTCCAAGAAAACGGAACTTCATTTTGATCTTGGCGATGTGAGCTGGTTTGGTAGTTCGTCCAAACGGTACAGCAAACAACCCTCTGGAACTGAACATATACTTGGTACCCTCCTGCCTTCCTGCTCAGAGACAGACAGAGTGTGTGTGAGGGAGGGAGAGAGACAGACAGAAGAAACAAGCTTAGTGAACAGCAGTAGAATGCTATTTGCGTTACACTAGAAACAGTGCTCAAAATTTACAAATATATGAGTTACCTTTAGGGTTGGAGAGAGTGACTTCCTCTCCTCTCCAAAGACCCAAATCGGCCCTCTGCAACTCCTGAGACACCAGAGCATAGAACTCTTGCGTAGGTCCAAGGCCTGTTCCCACCTGAGACACAGAGAGAAGTCAGGCATAAATCAAACAAGACTGACAGAAAAGCGGACTCTGAGCAGAAACAGATAGACTTGTTTAAAATTGCACTGGCTGAAATACACAGACTCCATGGGCTAGTGAAATAACAGTGGTGGCAAACAGTCAGTATGTTTATAGCGAGCTACCAGAACAACACCACATCCTCAGGGCCTCCTGTTTGTTACTGTAACACAGTAACGCAAGAACACAAACGACACGGTTGAAATGCACTGGCCAAGAATTTGTGTAGATTATGTTTCTGGCCTAATCGTCAGTCATGCATACCTCGTTCTCGTATTGAATTTCCAGCATAGCTCTGGAACTCCCGAGGTCTTGCATTACTGACTCTGCTTGCTTCAGGAGCTCATCACGGTTTATCGTTCTCTATACATACAAAACAACGAATAAGAGAATGTTAGAAAGTTGTTTGTGAATACATACCTCTGCTATGGCATATATGAAGCAATTACAGCATGCAAATGCTTAAACAGGAATTTTAGGGCAACCTTCTTCCTGTCAAGGCGTGGAGCGACACGGCTGTCTTGCGAGTCAGACTGGTTAATCTCTGGGTTGGTGTCGAGCAGGCGCTGCATGGCGCGATCGCGGTCAAACGCTGTCACGTAGAAGAGCATTTGCCGCGTGTCAAACGGGAAAAAGAATGGACTAGAAGAGAGAAGATTAGAGGTGTAAAAAAAAGTACGGATTTAAGACGAATGAGATGAAGAGTTTGCAGTACCTGGTCTTGCCGAGCTCAGTGAGCCAGGTGGGAATGTTCCCTGTCATGATGACCAGCGGATCCTGCAACTGTCGGTTGGCCTTTGCTGTCAGTTTACTGTTAATAAACTCACCAGTGGGAATGATCTCTTTACATGCAGCATTCTGGGGAAAAGAGACAGATGAATGTAAAGTCTACTGTTTGATTGCTTTATTATTGGGTGAATCTCGCTGAAATATGTCCAGGGGCCTGTTTCATAAAACAAGTTTACCAAATAAGCCAGGGGGCGGTTGCATTAGGTTGTTTAGATTAGTCTTAAAAATTTTACCATCTAACTGCTTTTCTTCAAGACTGGTCATAACTTTTATAATTCAGTTATGAAAAGGAAGATTGGTCTTATTTGTATTGGAAAAGTAAGACTGATTACCCCTTGGCTACTGCTAGTTGGTCTTAAGAACTAGTTTGACAGTCTTAACATGGTGGCTAAGTTTAGGCAACTGGCCCCAGGTTGATTTCAGTTAGTCAGACATATTGTCAGTTGATTTGAAGGGCCGGTTGCATAAACTGTTTAGACTAGTCTTAAGTTAGTCAACTAATTGTTTTTCTTCAAGACTGGACATAACTTTTTGTTATGAAAGTTATGAAAAGGTAGATCGGTCTAATCTGTATTGGAAAAGTAAGACTGATTACCCCTTGGCAACTGCCAACTGCTAGTTGGTCAAACTGGTTCTTAAGACACAGTCTTAACATGGTGGCTAAGTTTATGCAACTGGCCCTTGGTTCAAAATAAGTCAGACTAACTGAAATAAGCCTGTTTTATGGAAAAGGCCCCAGGTCATATTTCACACCAAAATCAAAGCGGAAAAAAAAGAGAAAGAAAAGAAAATGAAGTCCATTTTAGAACCATCCACGTTTTTAATTATTATCATAATTAAGCATACATTCTTGATAGAGGTTCTGTTATTGTACCTGTACTTTTTGTATGAATGCAAGTGTTCTTGAATATGGTACTCACATCGTACAGATAGAACCAATATCTACAGATGGAGTGCAGGACCCTCAGCAGCAGAATCACCTCCATTGAAGGATCATCAAAAGTGATGCCCTCTGGAGGATCACTAATGAGGTATGACTCTAATGGGTTTGTCACACTAGGACACACACCCTCTGAAAACACACACAAAAAACAAATATAGTCTGAATAAAGATGGATTCCAAGGCAGTCCCTTACTAAACTCCTATACAGCTTTTATAGGTTATCAGTGCACATGATATTTCCCTACCATGCCACAGTTCGTCCTGTTTCTTGGCATTTCGAGGGGAGGTTTTAGTGGGAGCCGTCTGTGCGCGACCCCTCTTCCCTCCGACAGCATCTTTACAGCCCTCTTCATCCTCTCTGACTGGCTTATACCTGTAACAAGTATATATTAACACTTGTGTATTGTGTATTAATATATATTAACACACAATATATTAACTATTAAATAGTTCAAATAATAGGGTTGCAGACTTGTATCACATTCATGGAACAGGCAAACATTAGTGATTGTGCAGTTTCTGAAAGAGTGAAAAAAACGGCGTGCAAGTTGTGTACCATATAGTGTGTGTTTTGGTCCAGATGCCAGCCCTTCCCAGAGGATTTGCTTCATCATCTGTGCTCTCTCGCTCCTCCTCAGCCTGCAAGCTGAACTGCCTGACAGCCTGATAAACAGTCATGTTGTACGGCAGCAGGTGCTCTCCTATGTAGAACTGCAGCCTGTGACGTACACTCCCAGAATTCAAGAACTGGGCAGCCTTTGGGAAACGGTAGTCCACAGTATTAAAAAAAGTGCATACCACTACACACAGTATGCCATTTTGATTACAATTACCAAGTAAATATTATCATGAAAACAATCATCCGTACCAAAGATTCATCAATCTCATCATCAGAACCATCATCATCACTGTCTTCATCCTCCTCCCTGATCCTTCCATACCCTGTTGAGACCGCAAGTGTCAACCATCTCATCTGAGAACTCAGAAACCAGAGAACTGAGAACATCATATTCAGATTCTTGTGTGTTTACCTCTAACCACAAGGTATCTCTCAATAGCCTGTACCAGGGCCAAGGGGTCAATTTTGACTGGCCCGCCCTTCCACTGTTTTACATTGGTGCAGTCTGGGTGTCTTTGCAGCTGGCACTTCAGCTGATGTGTGTTGAAGAACTTAAGGGCTTGTGAACCCCTGCAAACAAAAGAATAACAATCAGCATGAGATAAAAATATATAAAAACATGTAGACTGTTACCATATTAAATAAATCTTTTGTTTGCATCCATAAAAAAAATACACCAAGTTTGTATTACAATTTTAAACTTATGTTTTAAATTGCTTTAAAGCAGCATTTTTCCATCAAAGTCAGACTAATTAATTTGTTATATGTGACCCTGGACCACAAAACCAGTCATAAGTAGCAGGGGTGTATTTGTAAGTGTATAAAGTAAAGATCATGTTCCATGAAGATATTTTGTAAATTTCCTACCATAAATATCAAAACTTAATTTTTGATTAGTAATCTATAGGTGTGACCCCAAATAGTCGATGCTTTGATAGGAGGAGGCCGATTCGACTACCAATCTCAGTCAAATATTTGCAGAGGTGTTATGATCATGCCATTTTGGCTATATATGGGGGTGCTCAAATGTCTGATTTCACATAGAACTACCGGTTTTCTCCCAATAAGTCAATATACAGCCTACTAAGATAATGTTGTAAATAAGAATCTGAAAAGAAAGAAGCTTTAAAAAAATATTTTAACGTGCGTGAATAAATCCAACCAAGCCTATAGATTTAAGTTTCACTTTCCATAACCCGTGACCGACAGAGAAGCATCTTGGCGGCAGGGATTTAAATCTTTAACAAGACACAAATTGACACAGACAAAGTGAGAGACTGGATTTTTTCGATCATGTAGAGTACAAGTGATTTCAAAACATTTCAGCCGGTTTATATATAACATGTATATATTATTTATCTCATATAAGATGCATTTGGTTGAGTTACGCTACAGTAAAGCACTTCATTGTAGTACTACGGTGATTATCTCTTCAGCGTGCAGCGCAAGCAGGACAAACAACAATGCAGAATATTAATAACTATGACTGGGACTGTCATATACATAATGAGAACACTATTATAATAAAAAGCTGTGAATTTTTAGAGTTTAGTTGCCGTGTTTCTGCACGTTGTTACGTGAAGAACGCGTCCACAAAAGGACTTCACTCAGAGCCGTGCCGAAACGTTCACTTCTGCATTTGGGGGATTTTGTGCAGGTAGCCTGTAAGTCGTAATATTTGCGTAATGTTGTATAAATAACGAAGCTTATTATATATGAGATAAATGATCAGTTAAATCCCATTTATTTAAAACCTGCTATCAAGATGCTTCACTCCACTGGTGATCTTCAGAGAGCGCACAGCTCAAAACAGAAATGCAGAACATTAATAACTACTGTCATATACATAACGTTATAATGAGCACTGTTGTACAAAATGTTGTGAATTCGTAAGGTTTCGCTGACGTTTAATGTTAAATATACTTTGTATCTGCGAGGCGTCCGTTAACGTCAGTAATTATGACTGTCGAATGTTTGACTTGACTCTTGGTAATGTATTTTGCCCCACCCCCAAACATATGATTCGACAATCATGATGTCAACTATCGGCAAGATTCGAAAATTCCGATTCGACTATGAAAATCCTTAGTTTGGGACACCACTAGTAATTTGCATTGCTAAGAATGCTAAGACATTTGGACAACTCACTGGACTTCAAGCAACTTGGGCTATGAGCTTCTCCACCCTTCCTCCAGACTTTAGGACCTTGGTTTCCAAATGAA